CTAATATTACACCTTTCTCTTTCATCTTTCTTTTTACTACAAACCCTTAATGACAAATGCAGGCGGGTCAGTGATACTGATATACCTTGCTCTTAGCATGTGAATTAGTCATCAGACAATCAGTTCAGGGGTCAGGCTTAGAGAAATAGTGCAAAGTGAGTGAGATGCAGGTCGGCAGAGGTGCGCGCGCCACTTCAAAGGGGGCATGTATGGCCACGAGGAGCCGGATCACAGGGAAGAACAGCTGGGATTCTCTTCACTTGGGGATGGAGGGTTTGTGTGTGCTCGACAGTGTTTGGAGCTGCGATAGGGTTTCACTACTTTGTAAAACAACAATTTACTTTAGAAGAACTCTGCTGTTAAAACACATAGGAAGTTAGAGTCCACAGGAGACCAGGTGCCTAATATTAAGCAAAGGGACACCATTTAGGACAAACTACTAAAAAACAACAAACAAATACCCTGGGGACTTGTGTGGGGGCCAGTGACAGATTTTACCTTCTGAGGAATTTATGAAAAAGATTTTCTTTTCCTGGGAGTGAAGTTAGAACATAGTCAGGTTTGCTTAGAAATGAAAATGAAAATATTAAATTGTGAGTTGATTCGGAAGATGTCAGAAATATGTTTTTTTTTTTAACTTCCTGTTTTTCCAGGAGCAAATATAGGAAATGAAAGCTATGATGCAGATTTCTGTTTGCAAATAATACATACTAAACGAATCTGTCCTTTTAAACCTCATCTTGTTTTTCTTTGAAAAAACACATGAAGTCAAGCCTGCCTGCTATCCTCATATTAAAACTTGTTTTCATTAAGGTTGTGATGCACATTTAAATTTGTGTTCAGTCTGCAAGGCATTTAGTTTCATTTTTAGCACTGAGTTTTCTTCTTAGGGCACTTATGGCCCATAATCAAGTAGCTGGGATTCAGTGAGTAAGGAGGATACTGTTTTGCAAAAGATGATCTCAAGATGAGGTTATCCTTTTTTATTTTTTGAGAAAAGCTACAGTACAAGTCCAGAAAATGATTCTTACATTTCTTGTTGCTTTTAAACTACTGGAAAGAAAGCTGGGAAGCGAAGTCAAAAGTGCTGCGGAAGAGAAAAAAGTCCAAAATCCAAACCATATGACAATGCCTATTTATTCGTTTTCTTTCTCATGTTGTTTTACTCTTTCCTGGCATGAACTGTCTTTTTGGGTTATAGTTGCTCCAAGAAAGCCATTTCAAAGAAAGATCTTTACCAAGAGTTCAATGGGAGTAAGCACTCAAGCAAGAATGTGACCCGTCCATGGCGGAGAAGTATGACTTTGAAGATGAAAATATTCTTTGAACACTGAAACCAGAATACTGTACTAAATACTTGTAGAAGGCTCCTATCACAGGAGGATGTGGGTACCTTATTCAGCCAAATCCAACTTGATAATGCAAAATTATTGCCTAAATATAGATGATATTGAAGCAAAAGAAAGACCAATTTAAAAAAAGATGATTTATTTGCAAAAAGCTTTTAATGAAACAGCCTGGTTTGTAATGACTTTTTCTCTTTATTCATAAGTCTAAGGAGACTGAATGAGTATTAGCGTACTACTAACTTATCTGGACAGCAATAACATAAATATAAATAATATAAATATATGCATATAAATAAATATGAAGTACTTAAAAATTATCAGCTGAAAAGGAGAGAAAACAGCTTAAATCAAGAGAGTGAAGAGCTAGAAGGAATTTGTCACTTGTGATACAATCTGGCTGCTAAGGTCATGAGTTTTTGCTTTCAGTGGGAATTAATTCAGTGAATATCTGTGTTGCAACAAAACATGTTCTGACTTCCCTTGTGCACTAACATCACTGAAAAATGGAAATGGATCGATTCCCTTCTCCCCCACCTCCCTGCTCCCCCAGTTGAATTCATGTGCACTGAGAAAATTATTAGCACGACATCTGCAGAACATAATAACAGTGCTGCTTTATATCCTTTGACCAGAAAGCTAGGAGTTGAAGACTGACATTTTCCCTCTCTGTGATTTGGAAACATTCATAAATAGTATCGTATAAGAGTTTCTCTAATTTTCATTGGTGGACATTTAGTTAGCTAAGTTATTTCCAGGAATATAAAATATATATATTTCATACAGCTAAAGCTCATGCATGGTATATTTTGTGTGTGTTTATTCAAAATGTATCTGATTATTTACTCTTTTTTTTGGCCAATAATTATAGGGACTAAATATTGGTACCTTCAAAATTTCTGTGTTGAAATCCTAACCACCAAGATGATGGCATCAGAAGATGGGGTTTAGCACACGTGAAATTTCAGAATGGGGAGGCTGAGGCAGGAGGATCACTATGAGTTCAAGGCCAGTCTGATCCACATAGAGAGATCCTATCTCAAAAAAAAAACCAGAAAGAAAAGAAAAGAAAATGGGGGTTGTGGGAGGTGTTTTGACCCAAAAGGCAGAGGCTTCATGAATGGGATTAGTGCCCTTTACAAAGGTGACCCTCGAGAGATGCTTTCTCCTCTCTGCAGTGAGGACATAGCTGTCTATCAATCCAGAAACGCATCCTCACCAGACAAGGAATCTATTTCTGTCTTGGTCTTTGACTTTCCCACCCTCCCCAACTAGAAGAGATAAATGCTTCTTGTTTATGAGCTACCCAGTTTTTGGCATCTTGTTATAGAAACCAGAATGACATCTGCGAGTTCTATGCGTCTGAAAACATGAATAATTAAATTACAACATTCCAGAGATCCAACTCATTATAGTTTGTGGATCTCTATAGTTAGAGATCCTTTGTTGTTTCCAGGATCAGAATTTTCAGTGGTACGCTGGAAGGGGTTATACGAATGGCAACTTTCTTTGTACCAACAGATGTTAGATTGCAAATATTATGAATAATTATGGACCACTGCCTCTGTTTACAGAGACATCCAACTTATGATTTGGGGGGTCCACTTCTAGCACCGTCCTATGTATTCGTTAATTGGGTATTTCCCATGTGACAGACACATTTCTAGGAGCCAGAGATACAGACATGAGCAAAATAACTGCATCCATTCTCTCACCAAGCCTGTGTTCTAGCTGAGGAGACAGACAAGAGACAAACACCAGGTCAGGCTGCAACAGTAAGAAGAGAAGTAAAGCAAAGTAGGATTAGAGGTTGGTGGGCAGTCTTAGTTGAGGGAGTGTTCAGCCCTGGTGTGTGAACAGATTCCACTGCAAAGGAGTTAGCTGTACAATGAGCAGAGGGAAGGAGATCCTAGGCAAAGCAGGGAGAAGGCGTGAAGATAAGGCCAAGAGCAAGAGCGTGGCAGGGTAGCAGCAAATTCACCTTCCTCACTTCAGGAGAGAGGAAGAGGACATTGGTGGGACCTGAACTTGCAGAGCTAGAGAAGTCCAGTTCATTTGTGACTTTGCTGGCCAATCACTGGATCTTATTCTAAGAATGAAAGGAAGCCACTAGAACAGTTTGATCTTTTCATGGAACTGGGGAGTGAACTCAGGCTTCACACATCCTAGGCAAATGCTCATCCACTGAAATACATCCCCAGCCCTTGATTCTTGTATTTAAGAGATTACTCTGGCTATTGTATGAAGAATGGCATCTCAGGCGAGACAATGGTATCTGAGACCCAGGACCTCACGTAGTGCGGGTTGGGCACAAGCTTGGATTTCTCCAACCTGCCTCTGCTCAGACAGCCTCTGTGAGTCTGTTCTGCTCACTGTCCAACATTCAGCATTGTTTAATTGAATGTGGGTCGTCCACACTCATGCTAACTATTACTAGAGGTCCTGAAATTATTACTCGTTCTTTTAGTGCCACAAACTATACTGAGTTGGATCTTTGGAATGCTGTAATTTAATTATTCATGTTTTTAGCCGTATAGAACTCATTTAGAGAACAACGAAACCAGACGCACAGGTCAAGACTAAGGTAAAGAGTGATGAATAAACAACTAAAAAACAGTTAAGGAGAAAATTTCCCAGTAAACGTATTAAATCATTGTTACTGAAGGGGAAAAAAAAAAATCTCCCAAACTTCACTTGGCTGGATGTGGAAAGGTTGGTTGTACCTTAAAATTACAGCATGACGATTTTATCAGCAAAGGTCAAATTCTTGGGAAAAAAATAATAATGAAAGCTAACCAATATCAAATGTTTCTTGTAATCCTTTATTTATCATAAAGATTCTAGGGTGCAAGTATTAACTCCAATTTTACAGAGTCAAGGATAGTATAAAAAATTTGTCCAGTGCTACGCAGGTGCTAAGTAAAGATGAGCTAGGGTTTGGCTCCAGATCTACTTGACTCTGGAGCTGGTATTTCAAATCATCACTTCATGGTCTGCGTGTGGCTTGTTAGGTTTTAGTGGGGATGGGAAGCTTAGTGAGGGCTCAGAGAACTTCTGATGAATGACAAGACTGATTCAAGAGCTTCTTCTGGTCCTTAGATGCTCCCAGACTTCCCAGGACTGATATCTTCCAGGACTGAGGCAGAGATGTGACTGTCGGAGGAAACAGGAATGACAGACACATGGACTCGACTGACTCAGTTATGCCTGAAGAAAAACTGCATGGGCAGTCTTTGCAATTGATTAATAAGCAATTTGATTGTAAACAACGCCTTCTCTGTTTGATATTGCACCCTCTTGTTAGTTTAGTGGGAATAAGCCAACAAGAGAGGATTATGACCATATTTACTGAACTATACTTTCAGATTCTGTTACTTCTTAGACCCTTAATTTTTGTATGTCAGAAAACCACGAGGCTGTGTAGTTGAAACTTCTGGGAAGCAAAGGCCGTCGGGAGGCTGTTTACTTGTGTGCGGGTGATTCAGGTTGCATCACTGGTCGAATCCTGGCTTCCTCATTCTGATGAGAACTTTGATATTATTCAGGCATTCCATCAGCCCTGTGAGGCTCTCTCAGGGGAGGTTGGAGTCCCTCCCCCCCTCTCCAGGGAGGCTGTGATCTGGAAAGAAGCACATTCCCCTACATGGTGATTTGTTTAAAAATGAGCATGTGACTGGTAATGGCTTCAATATGATTTGTCCCCCTGGCACTCCGCTGAAATTTGGTTGTCATTATTAAGGTGGTACTGGGAGGTGTGACCTTTAGCAGGTGAGTAATATCCTTAAGAAGGATTAATATATTTCTCAAGACCTGGGTTGGCTCTCTGGGAGGCAAGTGAGCTCTCACTCACTTGGGATGGGGTTAGCTTCTCTGAGAGTGGCTTCTTACAGAGCAAGTCCACTTCCTGTATTTTGTCTCTTTCCAGCTCCTTTCTGCTTTCTCCCATGAGCTGAAGCAAGACCCTCACCAAAAGCTGAATGGATGCCGGTGTCATGCTTTGAACTTCCCGGGATGCTAGAACCATGAGCCAAAATAAACCTCTTTCCTTTATCAATTATCCAGCCTTGAATGAGTATTCTGTTACAGTTACAGAAAATGGACAAAGATGTGACACAAGGGAAAACTAATTTCTGGGCAAAATTTTTGCTCCCCAAGAAAGAGTCAAAAGAAGAGAGAGTCCTTTATCTTCTTCCTCCTGACATTGCCTCATGATGTGAAGTTTTGTGCTAGCTTGGCCATTTTGACTCAACTTTGTCAGAAATCCAATGTGGATAAAAGAGAGGAGCAGAAAGAATCTGGTTCTTCTTGACATCACTGGTCTGCTGACTTAACCAACGGGAAGCTGTACTCAGCTTTGAACTTTCTGTCATGTGAGTGTTTAAAGTTCCTTTTTGCTAAAGCCAGTTTGAGCTTGGTTCTATTGCTGACAGCCTCAACACATTTTCACTGAAGTAACATGCCATTATGTTCATGCTGTCAAAAAAGTTTTGACACAGCTTTACTCTATAAGGCACACGGCTGTTTGGTGACAGGAAATACCTATGTTTTTTTACTTTGATTACCACAAGTGAGTAGAATTTCTAAGTTGGAAATGCTGCCATTTTTTTCAACTTGCCTCTGTCAGGGATATAATTTTGGGAATTGGAAGAGGGCCTGTTCACTCATCTTTCATTGAAATTTCCCACTGGTGGTAGCCGACTAAAAAGGTCAGTGGGAGGCAAGATTTGGGAGGACATGTTTTCAACAGAAGATGTTACATTCTTGAGCAACCAGTTGATTTAAAAGACTGAATATTGTCTCAGCTTGGTCAGTTGTGTTCCTGTCCTGAGATTTTTTTTTACTTTTTAAAAACTTTAGCCTTAAAATATAGATGCAAAACTTGAATATTGCATTGTTTCTCTTATACAAAAAAAAAAAAAAAAACAAGTTATAAATAAAGAACAAAGTAAAAGGTAATAGGAAGTAGGGAGTCAGATCTTTCTCAAATGGGAAGGAGAGCAAGAGAAGGCTGGAAGGGAAAGGGAAAAGAGGAAGGGGATGAAAAGGAATTAAAATGTGTCATGTACATGGACCAGCTCCACCCAGAGTTTAATCACTGTGTGCTGCAAATGTGTAGTAATAAAAGTACAGACACAATATAGAACATAAGTCCATTCCTTCACAAATTATAAGGCTAACACCTGTAGACCATGTGCCCCTCTCTACCCCAGGTTAAGAAATAGAACTTTGCCCACCAACTCATAAGCCCCACCAGTGCCGCCTCTCAATAACTGTCAGGACTTTTATGCTCGTCCCTTCCTTGAGATTCTTTCCTATTTTGCCAGTGCACTGTATATTTTTAGATGCTATGGATTATCTTGCCTATTAGAGGAACTCTTGGGAGTTTTTCAGAAGTGGAAACCTCTTCTGATGTACAGACTGTTCAATAGGTATGCCCTCCAGTTCCCTGGTACACCACAGAGGGGTACGTGGAAGATGCTGGTGGGAGTCCTTGTTATCCCTATGTCTTGTGTATATGACCTTTTATAGTCTCCTTCCCTTGAGTCGAGGCTCAGGACCTGCCCCTGGCCAAGGAAACATGGCCAAAGTGTTGTCATGCCACCTCCGTGATTATGTCACACTGTAGAAGACCAGCAGACTGTCTTGCATCAGACTTATTCTTGAGATGATTCTCCTTGTTGGTTTAATGAAGTAAGTGGTTATTTTGGGGAAGCCCATGGGACATGGGACCCTGGGACACTACAGGCCATTTATTCTCATTTCTTGGGGACAGCTTGCATCTGCTGCCTTGTCAATGCCAAGCACAACTGGTGTGGCTATCTCATGACAGCGAGAGTAACTGTGCAGGGCTCCCAGCTCCAGGGCTCCCCTGTGGGACTGGTTATTCCTTTGTTATAATTAAATGGTACTGTAGTTTGCTTTCTGTCTAATTCTGCTTCTTCCTTTCTGAGAGATATTGGTCCATAGTTTATCTCTAGTGAACCTTAGGCACACAAATCTGTCTTGAGACTGTTTTGGGGGAGTTGCTCAAATCTTTTCCTTTTTATACAATTCATAATTTGAAGACCTTGGGCTGTGTATCTCTAGCACTTCCCTCACCTCGATTTTCTAATTGCAAACTCCTGGAAACGCAGTTCAGTATCTTCTATCCTCTGTCTTTCCTGCAAATTAGTAGCTGGGTGCAGGAAATGGATCAGACTGGTTGCATCATATTGAAAAGATTGTGTGGGGTGATTCATGTATAAGATGGTGTAGAACACTTACGTTGCATTTTTGACGTTAGGAGCTGTTATTAGTCAATGTCTAGTACATACATTTGTTGGAAGTTGAAAGTTGTGTTATGCTAATTTTATTTTGTTGTCACTTTTTAACTGGAGTCATTTTATAAGGAGATGCTTGTTCTCATCTCTCTAGTGCTTTGACCCAGTGTCTTGGTTACTTTTCTCTCATTGCTGAGACAAAATATCCAACGCCCAAAATGATGGAAGGAAAGGTTTATTTAGCTTACAGTTTGTGGAAGTTTCAGTCCATACTTGGCTGGCTCCGAGGCAGAAGGTAGCAAAGCAACAAGAGCAAAGGGGGGAAACGGCAGCCGAACAGCAATGCAGCCAGAGCAAAAAAGGAGGAATGGCGGCAAGCAGCTTCTTTCCCTGCCTTACTCTGTAAACAGGCTACCCCCACCTAAGGGGCATGTAGCTTTCACATAATCTCCATGCCCTCCTCTTCCACAGGCTCAGGATGTATACAAAGTAAGCACCCTGGCTTCCTGCTGAGTCACTTAGCCAAACCTCTAGACTCCCCAACTTGACACAATGTATCAACCATAACACCCAAGTAGAAAACTTCAGATAAATTTGTGGTTTTTGTCCTTTAATTTACTCAGGTTTTGTGACAATATATTAGATGCCTGTCTCATTCAGATGAATATGATTTTCGAAGTTGTAATTTCATGTATTTGGACATATTTGACAGCTGTGCATTCATGGAGCTTGTTCTCTTTGCGGAGGTTGGAGTATTTTGGTGTTGTTTGTTCTGATTCAATATTTTCATGCTCCTGAGAATTATACAATTTTCCTATTTCAGGAAAGTTTTCTAGAATTGTAATTTAAAAATATTTGTTCCATCTCCTTATTTTAGTTTTCTTCTTCTGGACTTTTCTGTATATGTGAGTGGATTTCCTTTGCTTATTGTTAAACATTTGTCAGGGTCTCTCTAATCTTTGTAATCCCTCACTTCACTTTTTTGACTTTAAAAACTTTCTGCTTTTTAACCTTCTGTTCTCTTATGAATTATTTTCTACATTTGCTGTCTTTTGAATTTATCTAATTTTTTCTTTATTTCTAAAAATAATTTTCCTCTACATATGTTTTTCTTAAATTTTATTATATTTTGTTTGTGATTTTCAAAAGATTGATTTATACTGGACTTTCAAGTCTTGGATTGTTTTGATGTGTATTTCAGTCCTTCTAGATATTATGGGGCTCCTTTTTTCTTGAAGAACTTCTATATGAAATCTGACCACTTGCTTTTTTTGTTACTCATTTAAGTGTGAATAAGGTTTTCTTAAAATCTGAGGAGAAAAATTGTGTTCAGGGAGCCCTTATGACCATAAAACACCCTTCTTTTTAATTTTTTAACATTGAATAAAATGGTAGCTCATTTGTAGATTTCCTGGCTCTTCCTTGCTGATCCATACCTTTATCTAACATTCTCTGCCTTTATCTCTCTTCAGTTTGTGTCCCTTCCCAGAAGCTACTGTCCAATATGGGGCTCTGCCCTTGAAGGCAGCCTGTGGCCCAGTTCTGGAGATGCATAGGGGTCCACAGTCTCAGCTTTTTTAGAATTCCTGGGGAGACCTTTTGCTGGTACTTATTTCTGGAGACTGCAGGTCTGTTGATTTTAAATGGAGTGTTCACAAGTTCCAGGGAGTGTTTTTCTACTATTGAGACTTTCCTCTTCTTGAGTTTGTCAGATGCTTTGCTGTTTCCATTGCTTTCATCCACTTAGAACCTAATAAGGTGTAGGTCTAGGGGCTACTGGTGATTTTTCTCATCTATTTACATTTTGGGGTTTGTAGAATTATCTACAAAACTTAGTTTCTTTTAAAAATTGAGCTGCAATTCATATAACATAGCACTACTCACTTTAAAGTGTACATTTCAGTATGATGACTACCACCTCTATGAAGTTCTAAGATATTTTATCACTCTGAGAGGAAACCTCACAAGCAGTTCTCCTTGTTCCCTTGTCACCCCAGTCTCTGCAATTAGCAGAACTGGCCTTTTGTACCTATGGATTTTTCTATTTTGTATATTTTATATAAATGAAATCATACATGACTTTTTCAGCCTGGTTTATTTCACTTAGCATAATATTTTTGATGTACATCTAATTTGTAGCATATATTTGCACTTCATTCCTTTTTATGGCTTAGAAATATTCTAGTTTATGTATATACTACAGCTAATTTATCCATCCATTCTCATTACTTAGTTTTATTGTAAATGTTGCCCATGAATTTTGAGTTTTGCTCTATAACTGCTCTGTAATTTACTGTGTAGGGATTCAGGAAGCCCCTAAACCTGCTGCCACCAACTCAGTCATCTTCCCAGGGTTCTGAGAACTTTACTTGAGACTTCAAACACTTAACTGACATACTGTTAAAAGGGAAAAGAGTAGCGCCTGGAAGAAAATGTCCACAACTTTCTGCTGAGGTCCTGGTGCTGTTCGATATTTCTGTGGAGGCTGGTTGTTAAGATTTTCCATGGAGTCCATAAAATCTGTGTTTTACTTACCACCCACTCCCTCTGCATTACCTCCAGCCAGTTTGGGTACGATGGTTTGATATTGAGTATGTGGTGATATCACTTCCTCTCATTTGATGCTTGCATTTCCCAACATGTCCACCTTCAGTCCGGTTCTCTCTTGGGGTAACAGCAGCAATCCATTTGGGTGTGTGATTCTCTTCAGTTGAAATGGTCTTTAGAGATCTCTCAATGGGGGTTGTAACTCAGTGGCTCAAGTGCTTGCCTGGCAAACACAAGGTCCTGATATTGATTTCTGGAAAAAAGAAAGAAAGGAAGACACAGTCTGTCAATACAAGAAATGACTTGGCATGTCAGATCTCTGATATCATTTCTCCTGTTTCCACATTTGGTCTTTTCCTTGGTTACTGTCTAGCTTGGATGGCCTCTCTCTACACTGAGCATGAAACAGGAATTCTTGAGTAAGTGCTTTATTGAGATGATGTTTTCAGTGGAAACTCTAAGGATGTAAGTCAGTAGCCAGGCAAATGTGACCTTAGCAGACGTCTAGGCTCTATCACAATCCACCTGGAGGTTTGGAGTATGCATGACACTAATAGTTGTCC